TTGTAATTTTGTTATCTGGTTTGAGTACAAACAAGCACATATTAGTTTTTATGATGCTCCTACAGCTATAAAGTATAAAGCAACAAGCTTTTAGCATGCTGTCATACAAAACTGCTTTTAACATTAGACTTTGGTTTTATTTACTATCAGAGTTGAATGCAAGTAAATGTAAACACCTATACCTAAGATATAACTATTCTTGTATTCCTTATCTGCCACCTATCTTCGGTCCCTTCTGTATCTTTTTCTTGCTTTGCTGTTTCTCTCTCAGTCCATATTGCAAAACACCAAGCTATGAGGGCTGCTCCAAAAGTACTGCCTCCTATTTAATAATGTTAGCCCAGGACATCAGAGGCAGATATTGATGGAATGACAGTAGAGGTTGAACCCTTTGTCCAATATTCAGCTACATTTTATTGCCATGCAATAGATGGCACCAGAGCAACACTCTGACAAAGAGGCTTCTAATGTGGAAGCGTGTATGAAATAAAGGTGTTTCACTGAATTCTTCCATATGGAAGGAGTGCACCCACTGACATTTGTCAACACTTGCTGAATGTTTATGGAGACCAGTGAGGAGTGAGCACAATGAGGGGTGGGTGGTACATTTCAGCAGTGGCAACAGAGACGTGAAATATAATCCACTTTTCAGAAGTCCATGCACAGCTGTCACACCATGAAATGAAGAGCATCTCAGTCAGCTCATCTTCACAAGTCTGCTTATGGTGGTGACTACGTTGAGAAATAGTGGTCTGTAGTTGAAAATTCACTCCATCCAATAGCGTTATTGTGCTCTTAGTAATGCTTCTGTTTCCATGGAAATATACAGAGGTCACAGGTCACTACTTTCAGAGTGACCTATGTATCTTAATCACATTATGTGAAAGAAAAATTGTCACAAGAAAAAACTGGCAATGCTTAAAATTCTTTTGATATGAAAAGAGCTGGAGAATATAAATACTGTCCAAGTAATTAATGCATTTTAACTGCCTACAATGAAACAACTAATTGGGTCCTTTTCCTTCTTTTCTCTCATGAAGACTACAGAAATTGGACAAAAAGAAGGTAATTTTCTTGCTACGATTGTTGTCATCTACACTATTAAATTGAAACATTCACAATTTCGATTTATTGTAGTATATCAAAATAATCGCACTCTCAAATCTTTTATTAATCCACCATTAACTATTCTTCTCAATTTAATTCTCCATATATCCCTTAAGAAAGTTTTCTTACCAAAATGGTAAAAGCAAAGATTAAAATAAAACAGTAATTTAACAATTATTTATTTTTAAGTTTATATATGAATGTTAATTGACTTTGTGAACAACTTGACTATTAAATCAACTTTTTGACTTTGTAGAGCAGCTGTCTGGGAGAAACCTCATCTCTCTGTTATGAGCAATGTTTTTGGAGATGTTTTTAGAGACTGCTATATAAAGCTGTGAACATTCTGGCACAGTCATTACAGAAATGAGTCAGTTGAGACTGACTCACTCAGATACATGGAACAGAACCGAGTGGATCTATCTTTTGAGTTTGGAATGCTCTTGTAATGTGCCTTTTACACCTATTAGTGTGTGTAGCAGGGGACAGTGGAGAGTGTCAAAAATAAGTCAAAATTATTGAGTTTTATAACCTCTGACATTTTTTTTTTCTTGCCAGGAAAGAGATTTAAATGAAAAAAATCTTGGGGAAGAGGGGAATGATTAACATAATGCCAAGCCCATGAAAGGGTTTTGTGAACATCTGTGTGTCTAAGGACAGAGAGCACAGACTTTTATGCTTTTATCTTCTGTGAACCCATAAGCATGAAGACTTGTTATGAGTGGAGGTGACTTCTATACTGTTAACTATACTCTCTCTTCATCTATAGGACTTCAATGGGGGGATGCAGAATCATCTAGATTAGATTAACAAAGGATTTCCACAGGAGAGGGATCCCTCTTTCCACAACTAGGTGAAAAACCCCAGTCTTCTTTGCCTCTTCCCTTTAATAAAAACAGAACAGTAACATGGATCCACACAGAGCTTTAATGTTACATAAGTCCGATAAAAAGGAGACTACCTATACAACACTTCTTTAGATCCCTGAATTGTTTCTACTAATACATTTTATTCTGATTTTGTTGTGCATTCCTCAGCATGGTTTTTAGGCTTTAAGATACCCCTGACAAATATATAGAAGACAATACTCTTCTCTGACATCAAATTGTGTTTAGATTTTTGAGTTAGTAGGTAATGTACCAGTAAAAGAATAATTAATTCCTGAAGGACTGAACATAAAAGCAAGCATACATTTGTCTGAGAAAATGAAAAGTTTGACTAAAGAAGATGTTTATGAATTATCATACTATTATCTAACTGGATCAGTAACTTTTTCTCATGCTGTTTACTAAACTCCATGCAAATTAAAAAAGGGATGGGTCACACAGTTCCAGAAATAACTGACAATGGTTTAAATTTTTTTTTTTTTCCCATTAATTCAGGCTTTTGATAATGAGAAGGCACAATCATCATAATGTAAAATGCCATAGATTTAAAGGTTCACTGAGATCCTTATATCCTGCAGTATATTTCTCTAATGGCATTTCTTGTGACTAGATGTAACATTCCTCAAGGTGGACTGTGTAATAGTCTCGCAGAACACGGGAATGTCCTGTGAAATTTACCTGAGGTGATTCATAAGTACCTAGTAATAATTTTAGAATAGTAATAATGAAATCTACTCAACAAGAATATTATATCAGCTACTGGAAGTCCAGTTGAAAGATATCTCAGATGTTAGAAATCCATTGTAAAGACTTGATTAATCTGTATGTTGCAACTGTATGATGTAAAGTAAATTTCTGTATCTTTAAAGTACGATCAAACAAGAAATAAGAAACTAAGGTATAGAGAAATGCTACTTTTAACCTAACTAGAAACAAAGTTATATATATATATATATATATATATTTAAAGTTTTGTAGGTCAAAAGTATATTAATAGCTTCCCAACTGCATGCCTTTATGAACTCCTTCAAGTCAGAACCCTTACTGGAATATGAAGCAGAAGCACCACAGGAAAATATGATTACATGGCACTTTTTGTTCAGTCAGGAAAAGATACAACTGAAAACTTGACCCTCAAGTCATTTGTTGCAGGTTTGTGAACATTATTTATGAGTCCAAGAGCGGGGAGGGTGCCAAGGCCTAAGGAGAGCATCTTGTCCACTTCCTTCTGTCATTAGCATAAAGCACTTTTAAAGAAATCAAGTCTGATGAAGTAAATCTAGATGATGAAGTAAATCTAGAAGTTCGTTATCTGCACTGCCACTGCCTCCTCTACATTTAAAAAGTTTCTCCACCAAATGTCTCTGCCACTAATTCAGAGGACTCATTTGCCTGATTGAATCTGGAAAATAACTCTTTTAAAACTTTCAAACTTCCTTTCAAATACAAGCTTTCCAAGAAACAGCTTTGCAACCCTTTGTCCCTCAGATTGTCTGACCAAGAGATCTTATCTATCAGTTCCTCGAGTTCGAAACAATCTCATCTTCTCAGTCATTTTGCTGCATTCCATTTCTAAGAGAATTTCTGATTTTTTAGTGATTGATCACATTCTTCTGGTTTCCTTCTTCTTTCACTTTCTCTTAAATAGTATCCCTTTGTTACTGTAGCACTAAATTGTACACTTTACAATATGTAGTAGAGCAGAAGCCTGGAAGAATGTCTTCCAGCTATTCTTTTTATTGCAGGGCAATGGAAGCTTCTGCTGCATGACTCAGAACACTCTCTTTAAAGACAGATCATCTCAGTTCCTTCACCAGAACCATTCCTCTTACTATTACTTAGCCCTTGGAGCACTTGGCTGTTTCCCATGGTCTCTCTGTTTTTTATTTCTATTTTTCTGGTGAGAAAGGACTATTATATAATTCTTTTTCTTTTTACTTTTCACTACAATATTTTTTCACACTCTAAGTAATATTAAAGCTTAAAAATATAATTTCAGGCTTGACATCAGTTTATCACATGAAGGCCACAATATTAACATACAGATACAAATTATCTATGGAGGTAGGAACTGGGTAATCTAATACCATCACAACCTTTATACATTGGACTTATGTTTAGCTCAGCTTATTCCTGCAAGTTAGGTTGGTCACTGTAACTGTCTCATAACAATGCTTTCACAAAGAAAAGATTTCATAACACTGTCTTAAACTCCTTGGGATGGTTATAACTCATCATGTGAATATGGCACTGCAAAAACTGAGTATGATTTCTTCTCTCCTTGAACAATGAAAGTCATCTACAGATCACACAGGGTCTGCCATTTCACATACTGTGAGAGATATATTAACTGTTCCTTAACCCTAAGATGATAACCTGTGAAACCTTGCAGACACATCTTCACTGTTGAACAGTTCCTGTTCAACACTGAATATAACCATAAAATTAAGCTTTCACTCATAACTAAGCAAAGCAATACTAGAATCATTTAAAAACAAACAAACAAAAAAAACCAACACAGAACAAAAACATTTGGAACACCTTTAATTCCAAAAGAGTGACAAAAATTATGAACTATGATGCCTCTTTGTTGCCAAGCAGGATTGCATCAACAGTAATTCTAATGCAAAGACACTTATCTTGTTTTAAACATTAGCACCCAAAATAACCAGTCTTAAAAGGTCATGTTTATTTAAAAATAGCTTGCTTGCATTTTACATTCAAGTTAATTTACTAACCTCAAAAAAATTAAATGCAAATGTATACAAATAATTTAAGCATCCTGTCAAAGTTCACATACATACTGCTAACGCAATTAAGTACTCAAGGTCACAAGTAATTTTCCTTAACCATGAGCCATCACCACATGGATAATTCTATTAAATTTATTTTGAACTAAAATCTTTGAAGTCTCTCTTTAGCAATTTATACTCTTTTTAAAAACCAAACCTATAATTTCCTGTTTATAATGTGCTTTTCAGGCCATAACAAAGAAGCATACTGTACCTCTGGTGCTGATGGCTCTTGCCGATGTGGTTGTGCTGGCTGTTAAGGTTACAGTGGTTGTGACTGTTGCAGTGGTAAGGGAGGGGATGACAGTAGTGGGAAGCAAAGTGTTGAAAACATCTGGTGAGTGGAAAAAAAATATAAAATAAAATCATATCATGCAAACAAAGGAGAACCATAATAGTGGTTTAATTTGTAAATACAAGTATGTCAAAAAATGATTAAATTAAAACATGATTAACACAAATTATTACACGTACAACAGTGGTACCTTTAAATTCTTGACATTATATCACTCTCAATTTTTTATAGTGAGTGTGCTAGCAAACAGGATTTAAAATACTGTTAAAACAACCATGTTTCCATAGATCTGGAGAGTGAATGTTTAAGTGACAAGAATCCATTTCTTCACTGAGCCATTTTAAATGTCTCATACAGTAGAAACCATATACAGATGAAACATGCTGTGTCAGAGTGGGAGATGAAACAACAACACCATCATGCTAAAATAAACACACACATGTTAACGAGAAATGGCTGTATGTTAAAACACCCACTTTCAGACAGACTCAATGGACGGAAAAAGGGGAGAAAATGCTACTAACTATAAAAGCTGCTTTTTCCGGATTGCTTTTCTTCTTCCCACACACTTGTTTAAGACACAGTTGTCTGCTAAGATCTAGAGCAGAGTATATTTCAAAATCTTTACCCTAATTAGTAGGCAGTCATCTTGCAATCATCCTTAATACATACATGTTATCATCAATATAGAGCTTAGAACTGAAAAATCAGAAAAGCCAATTATATTACTGTTGAAAAAGTAAGTATACAAGTCAGAGAAGATGCAAGGCCCAGATGACAGCATCCTGCAAAACCCTTCAGCTTCTGATCAAATACAGGTATGCCAAGCACAGGCAGCTGCCACTTCATTGCAGAGGAACCAGCAAACTGTTGCAAAATGTTCCTGTACAGAGCAGAACATAACCAGATGTACAGATAGAAAACACTTTGATTACACTGCCAAAAGCAATCAAGACCAGTATCACTTTGCTTATAAGGTGATTGCAGGTTCTAAAGAACAAACAAACAAAAGCCCTGAAGAGAAATACAGGAAAGCACTTCTGTGAGGAAGTAAAAAGCATCTGACAATTTTCAGATTATTTATACCACAGCTTTAAAAGGAAAGGACTAGTTTCTCATCAATTGATGGTAAGTAAGCCATTCCACACTGATTTCAGGAAGAAAACACAACCAATTCTGAAGGGTGCTATTCAATGCAATGCAGCAGAGGAGAACAAGCCTGACCAGTGATCTATCTTCCCTTGCTGTGGAAGGAAATGCAATTGGTGTCTGAGTACCATCAATTCTGACTGAAATTAATGGAAGCTAAAGCAGCTCATCCCTTTACAGTACTGGGCCCAACAGAAGACATTTCAGAGACAGGGTTCATGAGTTCAGCACAGCATAATTATTCCCTTAAGACTTCAAATTATAATGTTTGCCTTATTTTCATGATGGATGACAGATTACTTTGCCACTTAAAAAGTTTCCTTGTCAGTTAATATCTATGAGTCACCTGTATTATTACTCTGTATTATTCTGGTTTGGATGAACACCAGCATTATCCCCTCCAGAACCTATACCTGTGGGATTTCCCTCCTGGAAACCTTCAGAAAATGGCATGAGATCTGTCTTTTGTCTGCTGTATACTGATATTTACATCTGTTTTGCAGTATGAAATATTAGAAACCAGAAAAATTAAAACAGGTTTTTCAAAAAAGACAGTGTAGCCACATTAATCATCAGGAAGAACTGCCACATTACCTGGAATGTGAATACCATGATAATTAAACAGAATGGAGTTGAACAATCATTAGAAATAAATTAACATTTTCCAAAAGATACGTCATATGTACTGATCTATGCAACTTCTTTTCATAAAGAGAAACTCCTTAGATAAGTATCTGTTAAAAATGAAATCAAACAAAGCAACAAAAATGCCTTCTTCATAAGGATAGTAAATCCTTGTTTAGTAGAAAAGCTTTACAAATCAGCCTCGTACATAGAAGTTAATTAATGTGACATATTTCCCATAATTATATTTCTTAAATATGTTACTTACTTAATATTTTGCAATGGCAAGTCAGTTGCAACTGACAAATTATTGTTTTATGACAGTTTTTTGTTCTACATACACACTGTCTACCTAGTTTGCCACACACCAGATTACATGAGTCCCTGGCGAATTTAGAAGCTGACTGCTTTCCAGTTTCTATTCTAACTGAAATATTTCCAACAAGATTTATTATATTAAAAGAAAGCCAATGTAGGAAACTGAGACTGGTTAACACTGGTAACTAGAAGTTACAAGTATTTTAACACAGATATAGTAGGTTCATCTTTTCTGACCACTCCAAGAGCAACAAAAACTTATGTTGACTGAAGTCACTAACTCTGATGAAAAGCATCAATGTGGCAGCTTGTCAGAAACCTCAAAGAAAAACATTTCCTCAAAGGAAACATAAAAGCAAGGAATAGGACTGGCTTTTCTTCTCTCTTACCAGAGAAAGGAGAAATTCACTATGCAAACGACTGCAGCCGATTTGCTTTGTTCGCAGCATTACAGCTACTTGCTCTCAATGACCAAAGAACAAGACAGGAACCAAAATCAGCCAGACTAGCCCAAAGAAATTTAAGTTTAATGGTATCTATCCTTTAACAATGAGTGTGTCATGGGAAAGTATGCATAAAGTGAGAAAATAGCTAACTGCCTTACCATCAACAGATTTTGGAACTCTTGCATCACTTTCTGTCCTTAAATCTATTTGGGGCAGCCTAAGCCTAGATAAAAATTTGCATTCTAAATAGCGCTTGAGTACCACATTCATGTAATATCCTTATTTGGGCCTAACAGTCCTACTGAGTCTCTGTGACAGAAAGAATCTTTTTCAGTTTTTCTAAGAAGATTTATGGGTTCCTGAAAAAACCCTAATGTCTTTGCCTTGAAAATGTGTTTTTTGTTTTTGTTCTTTTTTGCTTTTTGCTTGTTTGTTTCTTGCATGAGAGAATGCATAACACAGGCCTCAAAAAAAAGAATAATAATCTGCAACAGCCTTCATTTTCTCCTTGTTTACCGAATACATGGGAAGTAAGTGAGTTTGGTAGCCCCAAGAATCAGATAGACTGCAAATATAAACTGTAAAAGAGTTACATATAAACAAAAGTTTTATATGAAACACAAACAGAGCACAGGCTTCTGTTTATGGAATATGAATATCAGTATTTTAAATATCCATATAAACGCCAGAAACAGGTATTACTATTTGACTATTTCTAGTTCTATACTTTTTTGGCAATATTTTCACTTTGGGGCGCACTTACCATGCTTCCAGTGAAGCAGATCCCTGCGTTACCCCCATCTTTGTTTTTTAGCAGTTACTGAGAAACATACTACTAAAAGGGCTATATAGCTTTGATCTCTCCTTGAGCTCTCTGTCAAGAAGTATCTCAATGGATTTGCAAACTTCAGTCCAGCAAATGTGTGTTGCAGAGATATCTAATTCTATTTTCTGGCCTTGCAGTTTCTGAATCTGCTTGTACAGAATGTTCAGCCAAAAACAAATTTTTGTTTATGACTTTCATGCCCCTAAATACTGAGGATTGCTATGACCATGGGACCACGTAGAGTGGAACTTTTCAATTCAGGTGGCCGTACTCAAACCAATGCACCAGATTGCTGTATCCGTAATACTTAAGTATTAATCCTCATCTTCCTTTGAAGCAGAAAATAGCCATATTTTGCAGGTGGGGAATCAAAGAGGACAGAAAAGCCATGTTAGATATATAAATCAAACAATAATTGCCACTGTTAGTTTAGAAATCTTACTACTATAAGGCATGTTTAGTGTAACATATTCTATCAAAAATTCAGTAATGTAATAAACATGGTATTCCATCACCTTGCTATCTCTGAAATACAAACAATTCACTGAGAACTAAGTGTTTCCATAAAAGTTTCTGAAAACAGAAAAAGGATCAGGTATCATGCAGGAGAGAATAAGAGACTCTATACTCAGTACTTTTTCATGAATATTCCCACAGGTTATGCATGAGACTGCAACTGGATTTTCAATGAAAAATGGTTCAGTGGATGCAGAGAGAAGCATGGAAAATGTTTTAAGGCAGTTCTTCATGGAATGCTACAGTATGTTAGCATGACTTTAAGCCACACTAGCAGTGGCAAGGTGAAGGCAGACAGCAGGTAATCTGACTGCTGATTGTGAATGGAGAGTAAAGAAAGGAGGAGAATGTAATACTTGGCTTGTTCAGGAGGCTGCTCTTTAGGAGAGGCACAAATACAACCTGCTTATGAGTGTCAGAATAGTGCTGTACAAGACTAGCTCACAACACTGTCCAGACGTGCCCAGTCATAATTTTATGCTTGCCTCTCCTTTTCTCTTGTTAATCTAACAGAAGACATTCACCCATTTAAGTGCAAGGAGCCTGGACACTTTACTCTCACTGCAGATTTGGCTCCAAGCACTTTTACTCTCCATTTCTAAATAAATGAGAATTGGTTCTGTTTGGTTTGGTAGGCTTACACAAAACAGAGATCTGACCTATTGAGAATATCTGATTGGTTTGGGGGGAATAAAAAAAGAAAGAAAAACAACAAAAAAACAATAAGCTGAAATGACTGAGCTCAATTCAGACAACAATGGCTGCAGTTGATAAAAATGTAAAGGTTTTTGTTTCAAGCTTGACAAAGTCTGACATAAAAATTAAAGGCCAGACTGATAATGATGGATGGCCTGTGCTTTATTTTTACAAAGAGCGAAAGAAGTTTTAAGTGATAAACTGAACTGAGTGATGACCTACCTGGGAAACAACCTCACTACTCTGCACAAAATTTAATCAGCCTGTGGTACGTAGTACTAAATAATTTAGCAAGGTTTTAAATTCAAAGGGAGCTGCATTTAGATTTGCTCCCAGAAAATGGGATCGAACAAAGAGATAATTCAGCCTGAATATCATGTGCCAATATCTCCTTAACACTTTAGACTAAATGATCATGAAGCCTTGCAGACATGAGGTCAAGGGGTTCTCTTTACTAATTGATT